GTACTAGTACGATTTATCTCGTGGTGTTGCTTGTACGCGTCACCAGTGGTTAAAAGATATTTGTCAAGGAAATATTAATGTTCTTGAGTGGAACCAGGATCGGGCTTGCGCCAGCACACACAGCAAATCTCGGCCTGTTAACACTGCACAAATACCTACGGCAGCTTGTTCAAGTATAAAGCTATGTAGTTGAACGAGTGCACGCAGATTTCGCTTTTGGATCTCTTGGTGGTCAGCATGGTCAGTGGAGGATGCGTCACCGCCGTTGGCCACGTACATGTACAGTAAGTGGAGTGCGCGCAAGATTAACTGGTCCACACAGAATCCGTATGGGCCGCTGCCTGAGTTGGTTTCATGTGGACCAGCGGCAGTGCTCGGTGACAAACCTATTCACAGAAGCCGAGGCCCGGCACAAATCTTATCGAGCATCGTAAGCCAGTCATCTCCACAGCGTCGGTTAGTGCAGTTCCGCGACGAAGGATATAAATGGCTTAGATGCTGTGCGAGGTATTCCTCCGTAGCTCGTAGCAGTAGCCTCCAGCAGCTCCTCCAGCGTACAGACACTCATTTGAGCTCGTTATCCAAGTCTCTCGACCGCGTTGTTGAATTGCTTTTGACCACAAACAGACTTCGATACCTTGGCCGGAAGTGGACCAGAGTTCACACGGTGCGTTCCCATGCGACACAAGAACCAAGGCCGTGGAAATTGATGGTTCGGTGTACTCCGTCGATGGCTCTCGAGAGTCTCAAAATCACCGGAACACCATACAAGGGTGTAGTAGTAAGCGCGACAAGATAAATCAGCTTGTATAAGTGAGAAATAGGTAGACTTATGTTAAATAGGTGTTCGCTGAGCTCCGCTGGTTAGCTGGAGGACGTGCTCACACCGCTCTGGAGCGAGCCGCGGCTGGAGATGCTCGAGCCAGACAAGTTGACGCCCCGAACACTGTCGTCACTGTCGTCGTTGTTGTTGTCCTTCTTTGTATTTTTGTCGGAGGCACTCGCACGCGCACGGTCGATTTTGGCTTGGACCAGAGGGGCATTGCTCATGTACTGGCGGTACGGATGGAATGTGTTCATTATGAGGTAGTGTGTTTGGGCGGACCAATTGGGAAATGAACCAGAAACGCGACTACACCTGAAGCGAAGGCTGACCCAGTCCCACATATCCATATCTATTCCCCGCGGACGAGCTCATTCGTGGCAGTAATCGCTGTCAGCATAACTTTACAACGCAAAAATATTTCACACTGTGCAGGCGGCGCGAAATTCAGTGACCGTGTGACTGAGACTGTGTCTGGTCGTGGCCATCACCAATCTCGCATCGTCTGGCATGTTCTTTATTTTGGTGTCCTCGCGTCCACAAGTGACGGGACAGGTATGCGTCACCCATGGAAAATATTTGGATCATACAATGCACAACACAATCCGCTTTTGCTGCATAGGTTGCAGCAATGACTGCAACCGCGAGCTCAACCATCAGCAACAATCGCACATCAGACCCTCGGCTCTTTGCTTCGTGCACGGATTATACCCCGATCTCATCCGCCGCAATCGCGTCTAAGGTCCCACATGGGATGTAAATATTTTAATGTTGCACCTTGCCATGTCCAAATCTTGCCATCGTCGTATGAAAATATATATATGAAGTAATAGACGACGATATATGTGCATACACCATGGTTTGGACTAAGCCCCTTGTCAACGAAGCTTGTACGTTTGCCTGAAATGATCCCACGAATATTCTCCGTTGATCGGCAAACTGGACGCATTTATATACAAGTTATTGGCACGGCGCTTCCGCGCGTGTGACCGCTCGCGCGCTTCGTGTTTTTATCAAGTCGAGCAATCACGCGGATCTGACTCCACGGTCATGGTCTCTGTCGCGCACCATTTTCTTGCACCATGCCACGTGGGGCAGATGGATCGAATCCGCAGATTCCAAAGACCGTTCCTCAAGAAGGTCAACAATGCCCAAGTCTTAAGTCAAACGCGTTCTCGACAAGTTTTATGGGCGTGCGAATATAAATAGAATTAGGCGCGAGCATCTCAATCACTTGGACGCGGTGCTCGCAACGCTGTCGCCAGAGACGCGGTTGGAAATACTCGAGCCCGAGAGGTTGGCATCGCGCGGCCCGTCGTCGCCTGCTGCTTTCTTTCCGTCCTTGGAGTCGTCGGTCTTGCTGAGAGAGCGCGCAATACGGGCCTGCGCCATCGTCGCGTCACTCATGAAGCGATGGTGTGGATGGAACGTGTTCATGGTCGGTAGTATGGGCACTGGGTGGCAAGTTCGTAAATGGAGAACCTTCTCCAAAGAAGACGAGCGATCCCACCTGTATCCGCAATCTCAGTTTCACGCGCGTACGTGCGATGGGAGTAATTGACGCCACATCGCTGCGCAAGAAAGCTCAGAGAAATTCACCTCCGTGTCCATTCTACGCGCGTGGTACTGGTACATTCGAGAAGAGAGGACGGACCTTACACAGTAAAAAGGCCCGTCAACTCGCAGACCTTCAAGTCAACCCACCATGGTCTCTGTCTCGCAAGCAGGCCGAGCAATCTGAGCCATACGAGCCACGGCGCACGTCAGTCTGTGAACGAGCCCAAAAGGATGTGCTGAACCACTGGTGGTGGGTTTCCAAGAGCACACTGGCTGCGAGCGCTCGAAGAAGGATGGAGGAAACCGTCGCGTAGTGCAAGTGTATATACTACAGTCGCAAGGAGCTACAAAGCGGGATGTGCAACCGCGCTTCAACGCCGGATCATGCTGCTTTGTGTCGTGCACTGGTACCGGTAGGACGGAACGAAGCGTTCGCCAAGGCTCAATTATGTGTCATGACGTGGCAAACTTTTAAATATTAATTGTAAATATTACGAGAGGGTTCGACATATCATTTGGACATGAAACTGTCGGTCGAATCGCGGTTAGAGAGGCTGGAACCCGAGTGATTGTTCACACCGCGGCCGAGATCGTCGTCGCTGTCGCCTTGTTCACCGTCGCGCTTGGATGTGCGCTTCTCGTTGGTCTTGCTACGACCGCGCTCAATTTTGGCTTGGTTAATGGCCGCGTCGCTCATAAAGCGGTGGTACGGGTGAAATGTGTTCATGCTGGCAAATTAGAAAGTGACGTTCATAATCAAAGGGCGTTGGTAGAGGGCGCACACACTCGCCGTTCGTTTCTTCGAACCGAAATTTCACATGCAATCTGCACCGATGGTCGAGGTCACACAAGTCGTGTCCAGCACCGTTTGACACGACGGACCAATCACAAGCTGGTATTACAACTCTGCAAGCGAGGATTGGCGCCACGTCGCACGTGCCTGACACAAACTGGTCACTTCCCAGAGGCAGCGCGCGGTGGCTGGAAAGGCCACGCCAGACACGCGGGAAACGCAATTCCCACGGTGGAAATTTTGGACGCGGCCTTGTCATGCAAGGCAAAGCCATGGGCGACGCCAATAGCGTGCAGGCTACTTAGTATAGGTCGGTCGGTACATATATATTGCAAGAGAGGTGTCGCTGGTCAGTTGCGCACCGCCGGACGGATGTGGCATCCCCCCTATGGGAAGCCTCGCAGGCGAGGAGCCGCTCAGGTTGAAGTTGCCTGTCGAGTCTCAAAGCGTAAAAACCCGCGAGCGTGTGTTAGCGCTTATGAAACGCATCGAACTCGACGACCTTCGCGCGGGCAGCGACCAAGCCGGCTTCAATTGTGCCGAGCTGATCCCGAAAGGCGGAGTACACTTTGCCCGAGACATTGGCTTGTTGAAGCGCGACTAGCTCCGACGTCACGGCCTCGAGCTTGATCTTCTCGGTGGCTTCGGCGTCCGCGACAGTCGCTGCGATTGTCGGGTCGTCGCGCGTCGGCAGGTGGAACCGGCGCTTGCACCCGGTGCTGCCGAAGGCGCCCTGTGACAACGTACAGCGAGATTACTACCGGAAGGGGATGATACCTCAATGGTTTGGTCGCAGCAGAGCCAGCGCTTGGCTCGATGCAGCATGCAGTTGGCCTGGATCGGACCGCCCTTGCGCGTGCCACACGACTTGACGCAAGCGACCTCGTACGTGCCCGGGTGGTAAACGCACGCAAACCGATTGTTCTGCGCGTCTGAATACCTAGAGCTGCATGTGGCATCCGGGATCGCGGGCCAACGAAACGAACCGTGTTTTGCAGAGCCGGCACGTGATCCAGCGGTGCTGGAACTTGCGTAGCGTCGTCGTGGTCTCACGCGGCAACGCTTCCGTTTCTTGCACTGCCACCTAGTCGTCCGAATATACACTGGGCGAGCAGCGTTGGACAAAGGCGCACCTCGGGAACTTCCATGGCTTCGAGCTTCTGAAGCTGCCCTTCTTGGCGAAGCAGCGTGTAGCGTAAATCGTAGGCGTTGCGTACAATGACTGCGTGCGTCCACACCTTGACCAAGCCTACGTGGTGCTTAGATACCAGCAAAGCATTTGATCCCAGCACCTTGGAACGCGCGCTGGAGGGCGCGCTGGCGCTCCTTTCGGAAGAAGCGCCGACCGAGCTCCGACCGCCTAATCATCACCATCTAGCGCGAGCTACGACTTTCAAGACACGATACAAGAGGCGAAGACGGGCACTACGGTTGTGTTTGCGCCATAGTGCTGCGACCTGCGCCGCTTTCGTCGCACTCTCGGTGTCGAGGCGCTCAATTTCGTCCGTGAGGCGAAAGAGATTGCGCTCGGCCGAGACGGCCATCGTGCGGTAGAGAACAAGATCGACCAGCAGCTCAAAATACCGCCTGCAGCACATTAGTACATCAAATACCAATCGATGGAGCGCGTACGTGTAAAGCTGGCCCGCGAGGTACTCGGTGCGGAAGCGCTGGACGCGCTTGTGGAGCACGGCCGAGTCCATAAAGGCCGTCTCGCGCACGGTTTTGATCATGAAAATGTTGTCGGCTTTCTCCTTGACGATCGCGCGCTCGAGCGCCGCCTAGATCAATTCACATGACGCCAAGCAACAAGTGCCCGGATTGGACCTCAGCAGCAATGCAGCGCGCAATGCACGCTTCTGCAAAAGCCTTCTTCTGTAGTGCGCCCGCCATGACCTGCTGCGCGAGCTGAAGACATCGGCGCATATCCACCTGCATAGCGCCGACTTGGACAAGGTCCATGGACCGGCGCTGCAAGACATGTAATGTCTGCGTCGTCTTCAGGACGCAGAGCTCAGCGGTCGCAACCTAGAAATGCATTGTACAGTCATCATGTTTGACGCTGCGTGGTGTACGCTGTGAAAGGTTTCGGCGGCTGCTATCATGTACTCTTCGTTGAGCTGATGGGCAAACTCGGCTTTCTTGATGGCTGCGAGACGTTGCACTTCACGGCGCTTTTCCCGACGGTTGGCCTGCTTGAGTTCGTCGCGTGTTAATGGCGAGGCCGACGCGACCTCAGTATTGTTGGCGTGCTCGACGAGCGTGTGTGCGTCCACAACAACGTTGGGCGCATCGTCGTCGTCGTCTTCATTGTCCGAGTCTTGAAACGCCGCTTGCTCGAGCATAAATTCGAGTTGCTGTTGCTCGTAGAGCGCGTCGCGCTCCTCCTTCAAAAAGACCTCGCGTAGCTACAGTGATCGACAGGCGTCAGACTGCAATTGTATAGATACCGCCAAAGCGAGCTCGTCCTCTTTCTTGACGAGCGCCCACTCGATCGCAAGTCGCTTGATCTCGCGCTTGTTCATTTTGATTTCGAGTCGCCGTGCCTCCTTGCTCGACATGTTCTTGTTGGCGTCCGCGCCGAGGGCATCAAACTGCGCGAGCATCTTTTGCAGCTCGACTTGGCGAATGTACTCGCGCATTTCGTTCTACGATGCAGTGTGAATTGCAAGATTACGACATTCGAAGGTGGCACCTCGGCGAGCTGCATGGTGCGGGACTCTTGCAGCATCAAGCGTTTCTCTTCACGGTAAAAGCGTCGACAAAAGACTTCTTCGCGGGCCATTTCTTTGCACAGCGCTTCGATGCGCTTGCGCTCGGCCTCGATGGCGGCTGAGAGGGCTTTCCGCCGTGCAACCTCGGCTTGCACGCAGCGCAATCGCTGAATCTGGCGCGCCCACGATCGCTGCATCACTTGAAGCTGGAGCGTATGTCCCTGCATTTGTCGGAGGAGCGCGCGATACAAATGCACTTGCAGATGCGGGTGCGGAATGGAAAAGACCACGTTGGATGCGACCTCGAGCTCGCGCGTGCTCGCCTCGCCCTCGGCGATCGTCTCGGCCGCGATGTCTGCGAGCAAGTCGGCGAGAAACCCATAGAGGTACTCGGTTTGCACCTAGCATGTTTTCGTATCGCACAATGACGACGCTCCCATCACATACCTGTGCTCGCAAGTGGCGTTCTCGCTCCGCCCCAAACTGCGCCGCGAGCGCTGCACGCGACCGCAAAAGCTCTTGCTCGACCTTGTCCATGTACATTCGCTTATGACATGCTCGCACGAGGCGCACGTGGTCAACCTTGGACTGCTTGACCGGCTTGGGCGGCGGCGTTGGTTTGTCGTCTGGCTGTGCAACGACAACAAGCGGCTTTGCGCCAGCTAATGCGGGCTTGGAGCGCGCAAATATGGACTTGCGAGGTGGCTTGCGCAGCGGCTGCCAAACGGATTTGACGATTTTGATCTTACTCGTGTGCGCTTTCGTCGCCTCGGCCGACGCGGCTGCAGCCAGTTCAACCTTGGCGGCTTTTGTTTGCAGTTGGAATTGTATACGAAGCTCGCACTGCGTCAGCGTTTCGTCCATGCGGGCGTTCTGTGCGGCGCTGAGCACCGCCCACGCCACGATCGTTTGGCACTGCGCTTCTTCCTCGCGCATGAGGGCCAGCTCCATCGCGTTCCGCGCCCGCTCGCCGACTACAAAGGCGCGCATCTCGGCCTCAGCTGTCGTCATGTGAAGTGCTTCGGCCTGTTGCTTGGCCTTGTCGGCATGTACGAAAAGTGCAAGGGGCTGGAAAACAGTGGCTTTCCACGCCTCGAGCTTGACGGCCACAACGGCGTCCACCTCGCGGTAGTACAGCACGTGGCCGGCCCCATAGATCGTGTGCACCTAAAGAAATGATGCATCGCGTTTGAGGCAGAATGCAAGTACCTTGGTGCCTTTTTGGCGATAAAAGAGGGCTAAAAGACTGTCGGCGAGGGTTCGTCGAAAGGCAACGGCAGCTTCGCGCGCTTCTTTGGCATCGCGAACCGCATCACGTACACGACCACGCTCGTCCTGGGCCTGAAGAAAAAGTCGTCGCATCGTCGCGCTGGTGTGGTCGAGGGCAAGGGCGTGCAGCATAGCAAACTTGGCGTCCTCTTCGACGCCTTGTCGTGCTTGGATGGCGAGCTACGGCATAGCGTTATCAATTGTGTAAGATATCAATACTGGCGGGTACCTGCTTTTCGATCAAACACGCCTTGAGGTTTTCAGCCGACGCGGCGTACTGCGCTATGGCTTCTCGTCGCCGACGTAAGAGCTCCCGCGCGGCTTCTTGTTCAACTTGAACGATCGCGATTGTCCCGTCCGTCCTTTCGCGGTCCATGTGGAGTGATGTGATCATTTCCAACTACCAATTGGTGTGTATAATAGAAACCGGGACACGGAGAGACGCACCTCGAGCACCCGCGCTTCGTACAAGTCACTCCGAAGCTTCAAAATCAAGCCGAGACGATATCGAAACTGATTGATCCGGGCGTAGAAGCTGATTTCGTCGCGGTACGACGCAGCATGACGGTCCTCGCGATTGCGTGTTGCAACGAGTGCGGCGTTTTCGCGGTCAATCCCATGCCGAAAGTTGAGCTCCGTTATGGCTAAAACCATTCAATACAAAATCATTGACAAGTGACAAGGTTTACCTTTGCTGTGCACGGAGTCGTACCCGCGCGTCTCTAAAATTTCCATTTCTCGGCGCTCTTTTTCCAGTCGCAAGCGCTCAGCCTCGACGCGCGCGAGCTGTGCCGCCGATGTAAACCGAAAGCTCGCTTCATTTTCACGATGCCGCTCGACATCTCGGTCCAGCGCTGGGTCGGGTCCACGGGCACCCTCGCTGCCTTCGTTTTCTAGGTGCGCAACTTCTCGGCCACAGTCTTTGCAGCGTAGTCCTTGACCATAGAGACTACCCCACGATTTCACGTGCCTATAGACGAAAAACGTTGAGCTACGGCATGCAGAACGAGACTGTTACGCGTGGGTACAGGCCGGGCCGGGCGCAACGGCTTTCTCAAAGTTGGGAATGCGCAGAACGATGCGGTGATGGCCATTGTTGTCGGTCCGCGGGTCGATCACTTTCGATACGACCTCGGGTTCTTCGTTGGCGACGATCTCGCGCTTGGCCGCAATGGACTGGTCGTACTTGATCTTGCGCGCGCGTCGCTCGAGCTTACGTTTCTCGAGTCGCCGCGTGTTTTTTCGGACCCACGTTTTGTGGATGAATTGCATGCGGGACTGCACCGTCTCTTTAACGTAGTTGAGCTGGAGGAGACGCAGAGTCGCGTCAAACGACTCGTGCACATCGACGCGCCGACAAAGACGGTGCGCCTCAAGCTCGAGCAGAGACACGACTTGCGGGTCGTAGTGGCACACGCGCGTCGCCTCTTGTTGTAGTGCCTTCTCGCGCCGAAGGAGGTCGCGGCCTTTTGCGTCTTCAAACGCCGCGTCCTCTTGGTTCATAATGACCAAATACTCTCGCTCGAGTTCCAAGAGCGACTTGGTCGTCTCCATTTGAAGTGCGACGTGGCGCTGTTGAGCCAAATGCACTTCTTCCTCGATCTCGTGTGCTCGTGACTGTGCGACGACAACGTCCATCTCATTTACAACGAGAACATATTTGACCTATGGAGGTATTGCCGTGCATTGTCTTTTCACAAGACAGGTACCGTCGAGAGGTCAAGCCACACGGACGTAGCCGACGCCAAAAGCACCTACGCCACCGCATTCGAAAGCCAAATCGTGGATAGACTGCGTACTTGATGTAAAAACGACAGTTTTGTACCGCCTTCGCGCCATTCGATGCGCATGTTCATGATAATACCCCGGCACCAGGATTCATCCAACACAATCTCAAGCGGTGAACCAAGTAGCTTGCGTGCTGCTGTGGTCGCTGCCTCAATATACTCGCTCTTTCTGTGCCGGTACTCGAGCCTACAGAGGGCGAATGTTGTACTAGTATACGAGCAGTGGCATTTTACATGGAGGCTTCTAGACGGATTTCTTGTGGCGATGCGATTGCTTGACTCTCTCGCCGGTTGTGCAAGGCTCGGGACTGCACGGCTTGCTCGTAGGCCTCTCGTCGCTTGCGAATGTCCTTGTCCATCGATTTGGAAACCTAAAATCAGCGTCTTGAGCGACGTGACAAAGCGCTGGGGCGCACCTCAGCTTGGATGCTAGCACGCAACTGCGCTGCGTAGTGTGTGCGAAGAAAGCGCTGATTGTGGCCGTGAAGCACCTTGGAGTCCCAAAGCTCTTCGCTGCTCGCGTCGACTGCAATGAGCTCCTCGAGAAGCGCAGCTATCCGGTGGTTGCCTTGGTGGCTCTGGATCCGCAGCATCTTGACGTACTCGGAGAGCACGTGTTTGGTTGAGTACAAATCGACTTGAGCTGTTACGTCTTCGGTGAACCGCCCGACCGCCTCAAGGCCGAGGACATGCGCCGGCGACAATGGGCCCTTCCAATACTCGATGCTGTAGCAAAGCCGCGTGCCCACAAACGCAATCACCAAGTCGTGGCGATCGTGCAGCTATATCCGCAGCATGATGACACGCATTGGGCTCTGTGCCTACCTCGCCGTGGTCGTTGATGACACTGTAGACGCCGGCTTGCGTTTGCTCGGCCGCTGTCGTACCGAAGCTCACCTTGACCTTGTCTTCGTGAGTAAAGGAGGCGGGACTTGCTGTCGACAGGATTCGGATCTAAGCACATTTTTTAGTGTACGTATGGGGCTATGCCGAACGCAAACCGAAAAGTGTAGCTGCCAAAGGCTGTGACTCGGCAAGAGGCAGGCACCGCGCAAAACTCCTCGCCGCAACGGCGCGTCCAGGAGAATGGTGTCGCCGAGCGGCGAAAGCGAGACGCCCAACGAGTTGTCTTCGTCGCGCTGCTTCCACCACTCGAGATCTCCCGTAGAAATTTTTTGCACGGAATACAGCGAATGGTGCTTGGCGTGGAACTTCTCGACCGCATTCACAACATCCGCGCGTTGGTTGAGCGATTGCTGCGAGAGGAGCTTGTCCTTGATCGTAGCGAGCCGATGGAGCGCAGCTTCAAGCTCTCCTTCATTCAGCATTTTTTGCTTGGAGATCTACACATCGCACTGTTGCGAAAATATTCTCCGGTATGTTGGATTATATACCTTCCACGACTCAAGACCAAGGGCGCGGGCTTCTTCGTAGACTTGAAACGCCGGCTCAGCCGCGGCTTTGATGAGCTCGAACCGCGTCCGGTGGGAAATGCGCGTAAGTAGCGCTTGTGGCAGCATCGGCGCCGTATCGGGCAATCGGCCAATGGACCGACCGATGACCATTGGGAGGTCGTTGGCCGCACCGTCGAAGCCATCAACGGTCAATTGCAGAGCGTCCGACCGCGCTTCGTGCTCGCGGATGTCGGCCTGGACTGCCTCCAGATGATCCCGAAGGCGGCTCAACTGTGTCGTAGCGAGACGCAAGCGCGCACGGACATCCTCGAGGCGTGATTCCAACGACTGCTTTAATTCCATCCATGCGTGGATTTGACTGCGCTCGAGGTCGCCGGGTTCCCTGCGTGGCGGGCCTGCGAGTACTTCGAGCAGATCGTCGTGGTCGGCCTTGATCTGCGACAAAAGTTTGAGGATCTCGGTCTCTTTCTCGGTCATGGTTGCATGGTCTTGGCGCGTCACGTCGTAGTCGCGATCGAGCGCCCACTGCTTTTCCTGGGCCGCGCGCAGATTGGACGAGGCGTCTTGGAGGGCAACGCGGACTTCTTCGTGGCTCATGTCAAATGGTCCGGCAGTAGGAAACGCGATCGTGTGCTCGTCTACCAATGCCAGGGTAGGCACATATCAAAAACGATCGAAACGCACCGAGCTCGGGCTGGAACCCGCCGTCTTCAAGCGACTCGAAGTCACCCGGGTCCACGGGGATGCCAAACACACCAAGTCCATTCATCGTGATCGACCTCTCCATGTCGAGGCTCTCCCACCGCTCGGGCTCGCCGTCGGCCAAGGCAATTTCTTTGAGCACATGGTCGACATTGGCCTGCGCACGACATGAGTAGATACTTGTCGATGTTGTCTACCTCGGCCTCGGCGCGCATCTCGGCGTCCCGCGCTTCCGTAGCATTTGCACTGTTTTTCCGGCTCTGAACCAGCTTGGCGCGCCAATACTGCATGTTCATGAACCGTTTGTGTGCGACCTGCGCTGCGCTGAGCGTCTCCACTTGGCTTTCGTACGCTTCCTTCTCTTGCGTTTGGAGATCTCGCCAGTACTTCCACTTGATCTACACAGATACACGTACGTCGCTAAGCCACGTCGTCAGAAGGGTCGCGTACCTCGAGCTGCTCGTTCTCGTAGGCTCGATCCTTCGTGTCGGCAGCGGTCTTCATCTTACGGAGCCGTCGAAGCAGCGGCGCCTTGTGCTCGATGCGAGCGTGTCGATCTTCTTCCTTCTCGGCGATCTCCTTGGCCGCCTTGCGGTACTGCGTATGGCTCTGGAGCTTGAGGCGCTTGTAGCGCATACTCTCCTCGTCCATCTGGTGAATAAGCGCAACATGCTCGCGGAGCCAACGCCGATTGCGGAGGATCGTCGGCTCGTAGCTTGCGAGCGACTCGAAGACAGCGGATGACGACTGCGCGACGCTGCCAGAGACTTTGCTCAGGACCTTCTGGACGTTGGCCGAGATCGGCACGTGCTTGAGCGCGATGATCTTCTTCTTCTTCTCGCGAGCTCGCTCTTCTCGCTCTTCGTCGTCCCATATCTCTATGTGATCACAGCATGAGGATCCCATTGATCGACCACCAATGTACTGGTCATCTTCTTCATGCTAAAGTCCTTGAGCGCGAAGCCGCGCTCGATCCAGTCGGCCCGTGCATCTTCCTCGAGGAGGTCTTCCGCACCCATGTTCCAACTGCTTGTATCGTCTTCTTCGTGGTCGCTTTAGGTCGGGGAGGAAGCGATCCCGACTTCGGCCATCGAGCGTTGCCGATGGAGGTATCAACAGTCGCGCGGGACGCGGATTGGCTGAAATACCGTCCGCTCGGATCCTAGGCAAAGCCATGCGATTGGCGAAAAACCCGAGGATTTTAATCCAACGAGACGCCGATTGGCCCAAATCGAATCCGACCAAGTTGAAGCCTGCACCGACCACAAAGAAGAGGAATCCAGTATGAACGACCACCGGCCGGCGGAGACGGCCATGCATTTCCGCGAAGCGACGCATGACACGTGTCTCTATGGGTCCGTCGTTGGGCTCAAGGATGTGGTTCCTCGGAAGCGCGAGCCCGTCATGGAGCTCCTCGACGACTCCGACGACGATGGCGGAGAGTACCTCTCGTACCCGTCCAACCTCTCGCCCGTGGCATGGACGCTGAACTCGTCGTCGTCGCTCTCCGCATCGACCTCGACAGGAGCACCGACTCCACGCGACAAGCTACGGCAGCGGCGCCAAAGCCGGTCCGAGTCGGCGTCGACGACCGCCTCTACGACGCCCAATTCGCCGCCTTCCATGTCGACGCCTCGCCACAAGCCGATGCCGCCCATGTGCGACGAGTGCGAAGGCTCGTATGGGGATGTCTATTGCCAAGACTGCGATCTCGTCTATTGCGCGTCCTGCAACGATGCGCGCCATCGCAAGGGAAAGCTCGTGCTGCATGAGCGCACGCCACTTGCGGCCCCATCGCCGCCAAAAGAAACGCCGCGCCCCGTTACCGTGAGCGACTGGGCGGTCGCTCATGTGCTCGAGTGGCTCGAGAAGGTCGATTTGACAATCTATGCGTCCACGTTCGAGGCGCTGGGTGTGAACGGTCCGAGACTCGTTCGGGCGACGCAAGACGATGTCGATGGCTGGGACGCATCGAGCCAGGCGTCACGGGCCCACAAAAAGAAGCTATGGCGCGAGATCCAGAAGCTCCAGCCGTCTGCGCCGGCGCCAATCCGAATCCCAAGCCATGAGACCCTCGAGCGACGGTCAAGTGACGTGACGTCGCCTGTTGCCGCCTTGCGCGCACGGTATGCTTCCTCCGCAGTCGACAACGGTTTAATACCTCCAATATAGCGTTCACCACGGGCAGTCGGAGAAAGGGCGCGTGGCCCGCCGTCAGTCGGCATCTGCGACGACGACGTTTGTCAAGCCAACGCTCGACCTCTCAGCGGGTACGATAGGAGATGGTATGCTTGGCTCTCTATCCTGCACTCTCTAGATGCGTCGCGTTACAAGTCGTCACCTGCCAAGCGACGTCCCGTAGGCTTAATTGCTTTCTTGGCAGCATGCACGAAATGAGAGATTCGATAGGCGATGGATCTGGGCCTCGATCTGGTCAAAGTGGCGCACGAAGAGAAGCACCTCAACGCATCCTTTGACTTTACGGCTGAAGGGCGGCTTCAGACCCATGGCTTTGACATCAACGTACGCAAACTTTCTCACGCAATTTTCGAATTTTGTGCTAGACGGAGGGCATTTCGCGAACGCCGTTCCAGCCCGTGACAACAACGCTTCTCGGCACGAAGGATTCGCTCGTGCTCTTGCATGAGCTCGGGCATGGCGCCAGCGGCAAGGTCTACAAGGCTCTGTACTTGCCCACGTTCAAGCTCGTGGCCGTCAAGGTGATGTCATCGAATGTCTGCTAATATGGTCTCAAGCATTTTCAAGGTCATTCGAGTCTACGACCAAAAGAAGCGCCATCAAATGCTGCGCGAGCTCAAGTCGCTCTACGCCAACTTTGTGTCGCTCCACGAGACGCGCGTCACGGCGGCCTGCGACGAGCTCGTCATGTTTTACGACGCGTATACCAACCCGGAGATTGGCAGCGTATCGATCGTGCTCGAGTACATGGATGGCGGATCCCTCGAGGTTCGTATGCGTCTCGGGATGCCTTGTGCTTGATAGGGGAAGCGTATAGGACGTGATGAAGTCAGGCCGGCCGTGCTCCGAGTCAATGCTGGCCAAAATCGGTACAAGCGTGCTCAGTGGACTTGCTTTCCTGCACGAACACCACCAGCTCCACCGCGACATCAAACTCAGCAACATCCTCGTAAGCCAGCAAGGTGCAGTCAAGATCTCGGACTTTGGCATCTCGACCGAGCTCGAAAACACACTGGCCAAAGCTACGACGTTTACGGGCACGCTCTTGTACGCCAATGACTACTTTTACCTCGAAACATGGAATCATGAGCCTAGGTACATGGCGCCAGAGCGCATTAGCGGCGGCACGTACTCGTATCCGTCGGACGTCTGGTACAGAAAATGTCCAACAGCTTGTGTTTTAATCGAATGTAGGTCGTTCGGCTTGGCATTGATGGCGTGTGCCATCGGACGGCTGCCTGTACCCACTGAAGACGGCTACTGGGGTGTTGTCCATGCTGTCCAAGAGCAGCCATCACCGCGGCTGCGCGATTTTGGCGATCACTTTTCACCCGACCTCTGCGACTTTCTCGATCTCGTACGTACTATCTTCAATATTCTTGGCGTTCACGCTATGTGAGGTCTAGTGCTTGAAGAAGGACCCAATGCACCGACCGCCAGCGCAAGTGCTTTTGGCGCATCCGTTTTTGAAGCGCCACGCCGCTGCCCCCGCGAGCGCTGTCATTGTGCGTCATTTCGCGATTGCATATTTCTAAAGATGCCTCTTGCATCGTAGGCGCCGATGACGACGACGGCTGCGAACGCTGCCGAACTGCAGAAGATTGCGACCGCGGTCCAAGGCTGGATGGCCACACACGACCGCAGTCGCCTCGCATCGCTCATGGACGACCCAGCGCAACGGTACCATGTTAATATAGGTTTGCCTCACGACATTTTCTTTTCCGTAGCATGAAGGCGCTCCATGGTCTCGCCAAGCAACTCCAAGTCGACTACCACGCAGTCGAGTCTTTGTTTTCGTTTTTTTAATGCGTCCCAGCTAAGCAGGATACCCGCCGTTGATCTTGCCATGCGATCTCATGATCAGTTATCGACGGGAATGGCTTCGTCCGGCAGCGGTTCTTGAAAGAACGCAAGGAGCGTCTCGACAGAGGTTGCGCACGTCGCTGCCAGGTTGGCAACGTGTCTACACGATACTTACATCAGAAATACGAACAGCATACCATCCAAGGCGCACTTCTGGCTCCACGAGGCGTGCGCTGCGCTGAGGCTCTCGAGGTGGTGCGACTGAAAGTCGAATGCGTCGTCGCGTGTTTTGGTCCCAGATGCTTCGTGGCACCGAATGGCATGTACGAGCGCACGAACGTCTTCGGGTCGCATGGGTGTCTGCGGATTCATGGTTGCCCATACTGCCTCGTACGCCGGTGTCCGGCTGTAGTCCTTGAGAAAATCGTGGGCAAGCGCCTCCTCGGCCGTGAGTCGCGCCGAGGGATCCTTCACCAAGAGCGCGGCAATAAAGGCTTGACAAGCCGCCGAGAACGTTGCTGGTGGGCCTGGGATCGGCTCGTTCACGATTGCGTCCTCAAGGCCAAAGAACCCCTCTTGGTTATCAAAAGGGTATTTGCCGAGGGAGAGCGTGAGAAGGGTGACGCCAATCGACCAGATATCGCTCGGGTAGGAGTACTCGTTGCCTTGGATCCGCTCGGGCGACATGTACATCATGGTGCCCTGAAAATCGGACGAATACGAAGCACTCTTGGACAATGTCGACGCAAGACCAAAGTCGGCGATCTAAAAACGTATGCGTAACCGAGCCACCAAGCCGCGTGATGAGATACCTTGAACTCGCCGTTGTGGTCAACGAGAATGTTGGCCGGCTTAATATCTCGGTGCAGCATCCTATTGCAACACCGCGGACAAGTGAGAATATGTTTTTCGAGAGACCTCAAAACACAGACCGGTAACGGTGCATGTGGGCCAGCGCCTGCGCCGTGCAGTAAGAGATGTGGCGGAGAATGGATTCTGGCAGCACAATCTTCTTGTCAATGAACGTCTACGGCATCATGAGCCTCCGCCGCGTGACGGTTCGTCTTATACCTGCAGCGTGCCGCAGTCCATGTATTCCATGGCGATCGAGACACTCGTCTTGTTGGGCGTTGCGAACGCGCCGTAGAACGACACGATCTGCGGGCACGGGTGAGCAATCCCAATGTGAAGCTTCCGATGCGAGAGCTTCCCGAGAAACTTGATGGACTTGTGCGTCGCCGCTTGCACGAGCGGCACGAGGTTGTCGTGGAGCGCATGGAGCTCGTGGGCTACCATGTGTTGGTCCTCGACGTGGTGCATAACGACCTCTTTGATCGCAATCAGCTGCAACGACGGAAGGTAGCAAGCGAGGTACACGGCACCGCCCGCCCCTTTGCCCAAGCGCTTGAAGCGACACGTATCGGTCGCTAGATCGGCGGGCCCATCGCCCTGGACCTCTTTTAAGCTCTCTTCGGGGCTGATTTGCTCCTTGTGGTGCGTCTTGAGTGCGCCGAGCATGCCCGCGACTGGCGCCGGCGGTGGCTCGTCCACGGAAGAGAGCTGCAGCACGAGCTTCGGGCGTCCCATGGGCAACGGTGATGGCGGAGGGAGAAATGTTCCCGCAGCGGCCAAGTCCGTCGGCCGTGCTTCAGACTCGGCGCCAGCTGGCTCGATCGGGGCTACGGTGCTCATGTGGTTCGTTGTGAAAGCAATAATGGCCAGCAGAAGCGGTTACGCGTGTCTAGAATCACACCACACGAGCAAGACAGTGAAACTACTGTACATTCTCAGCTGCCGTAAAGCCGGAGGTTTTCCTCGCTGGGCCGTTTGTCACATGTGCACACAAACACTTATGACCAAAAGTGTTTTAAATAGTAGTAGGAGGTAGCAACTGCGACGCGCTCACTGGATGAATGACGTACTCCGTCACGTTGGTCGGAATGACATTCCACTCACACCATACCTCAGCTGCTCCTTGAGTGCAGTTGGACCAAGCGCAGCCGTACTCGGTCAAATCCGGGTTGAGCCAGCCTCGGAGCGCGCGGCACGCGTGTGACGCAGGCTGCATACACTCGCTGGCTGCCTCATTCCACTGCGCAAAGCCAGCCTCGAACCATGTCCAAATCGGCCCCAGCGTATGGATGCAGGCGTCCGCGGAGCACTTGACAGTCCGTATGCGGGCGATCTGTGGCAGCGCGGTTTCATTCACAAAGCTGGAGCAGCTGTTGGCCAGGCTGCCGACGCGGAGAGCGATCTCGCGGCTGTAGAATGGGACGTTTTCCATGCCCATAGCATTGCGTAGCCGTGCGAGCTGCGTGTGCACTTGAACTTCTTCGGGCAAAAGAATGTCGTCCTCGTCGGTTGGACTTTCCGTTTCGACGATGCGCGAGACTTTAGTCGACCGCGGCACTTCTTGGGTGCTGTTCAACGGGAACACAATCGTGTACGGGTCTGGTGCGTACATGGAGCCAACGTCATTGGAGCTTGGCACAGGCGTCGTGTACGAGCCCGTTGCTTGTGGTGATTTCGTCTCACTAAATGCCGGTGCGGTCGTGGTCGTGGCCGACGGCGCATGGGGTGCCGGTGTTGGCGTCGCAGTCACTGGTAACGCACGCTCAACAATCGTCGTGATCGTCAAAACGACCGCGACGATCCCGAGAACACCGAGAAGTAATAGCCCAAACGTCAAGAGGCAGGTGCGGCGGCGTCGTCGGGGCGCTGTCGGTGCTGAGTCACTTGACGCACGCTGCCGAAAGTCTGGCCATTGGTACTCGCGCCAAATCCGCAACGAGCGCGTGACACTGGCCGTGGACGAACACGAAAGCAAGGACGGCGCGGCTGTACGCATCGGCAAATGGCCACCTCGGTACACGACGGGATGAGGCTACTCCACGCACATACAGACGCTATATCACTGGGTCATTGGGTTTCCGTATCTGATGCGTTTGAAAGACACGGGCCCGGCCACGCCTGTCTGTCGTTGATTACCATGGCGACCACAATTATTTATAGGGGAACGTCATGTGCACTCATTTCTGTAGAATTCCACAACATATTAAATGCAATATACCCCCAATAATACATGATATGCTCTATAGGTACGATGCCGCATGATATACCGGTCCAGATATATAAATCGCAAATAGTAAGTTGCGAATAACCCTCGTCATAAACCTCGTACATCAGTGTTCATTAGTGGTTTGGCCATGATGTGAGACATATAACGTGTGGTGTCTCTGAGACCACCACCTTATCATAAAAGGATCGCGAAACCTGGTCCCGAGCTCTGTTGCGGAAAGAGCTACGTTCCACAGCAACAAGAATCCGTTGCAATATACTATTACATATACTAGCATTATCTGAAGCGTTCGAACCCACTTCGAGAAATGCTTGCAGTCAGTTGCGGCCCTCGCTTCGTGTTGCGTGCTGCGTTTGATAACACTCATCCGAAGCGCGGCGTCGAGCCGTCACACAACAACTGCTACCATCTGCTTTGTGTACCCAGACCAAACCAAAAGTGCAGATGAGCAACTTCTCACGTGGGTTATTTTGCTGCTAGTAAAAGTGACGCGGATACGGACCGTGGGGCGACGGGAGGCGTTGTGTTGAGAATATTGGGTGGCAGTACTCCCCACGGGGCATAGGCACACCAAACAGCGGGGGCCGTAGAGCACAGTTGAGCGGCCGTCGTGAAGCCACAGCCAAGCTGAATCGACAGCGGGCTCAATATATGGTGCCATGGATTGAACGCGGGACTTGCTATTGCGTCCGCTGGCGACACGCGACGATCAGCTATCGCCGAGTAGAGCCCTTGGATATCTTGAAACCAGTACCACATCGGGCCCAAGCTCCGCGTGCACGCCGGCGCGGTGCACGACTGGTACGGCCGGACATCAGCTGCCATGGGACGGGCCGTTGTGGGACGATCTCCCGGGCAGGTTGCGGCGTACGACTGCAGGGAAGCGGCCATTGTGGTATTCCAAACCGGCGCCGAGAGGTTGTGCGCGGCGCGAAGCTTTGTGAGTTGGCTCAGTAGCTGATCCGTGAGGCTACCATCGACAAACTCTTTTGTCTCTTCTGGCACAGGTGCGTTCGTTGACGAGGGCTTCGGTTGTCCGGGTAACGCTGGCGTCGGCGTCGCCTGGTCTGTGGTAGGCTCCGAGGCAGCCGTTGTGTGGCGACTTGGTGTAAAGACATCAGCCAAAAAGAGGCCACCGACGACGGCAGCAAAAGCAAGCATGGCTACTCCAGCAATGGCTCTTCTCTTGCATCGCGGTGGCTGAGGCTCGCAGGGTAGCGTGCCTCTGCGGTCGGATGAGCGTGCATCGACCTCGACCGTCGCGGAGGATGTCCATTCAAGCTGTGCGTCGCGCCAAGTCGTCAAGGAGTTAGTGATGTTTGCCCCGGAAGAGCATGTTAAGAAAGTAGCGGCGGCCCCGCTCTCGCGCATGACGAACCCAAGAATGACCACCGCTGGCGTTGGCGCATTTTCGCCCAGCTTCGAAACTCGTGCTTCGCGTGCAAACATCGCTGCCACGTCACGGACACTTGGGTTCTTTCGAAGTTCGAAGTTCTAGTGCAACGAGCGCGACGCTGCGATACTCGATCCACGCCATCGATTTGGCTGCCAAGTAGACAGCGACGTACACTTGCCTTACTGATACATCCACTGCACACACTCGCCACACTTTCTATCGGGCTGTGGTCCCACGTGTAGCATTCTGGATTTTTAGCACTGTTGCCTGGGCCCGTTTGTGGAGTATGACGGGTTTCAATCAAGGCCATGCCGTCCGATTGACGCTTTTAGAGCCATTGTGAAGGACACCCTATTTGGTTTAGGCTGATTTTGTTGTGCCGTCTCGTCAAGGGACTTCGGCAAGCTCAGGCCATCACCTCCATCAGCATGGGCATGCCACACAGAGTGGTCGTCGAACGCTTGGGATGAGATTGACTTCAAGAAACGACAGTTTCAGAACGTCGACGGGGTGCAAAGGCGCGCTCATGGACTTTGCGCGACAAGAAGATATCACGATGTCAGCTGCGTATGCTGCATCGATGACGTCGATGGCGGCCTTGAGCAAGGTGGGGCAAGCACCAATTTTTCATGCACGCGAAAATCCTCATGCCGTGATTCGTGGGAAGCTGGCTCTACTAAACCGAGGGAACTATTTGATTATTCACTCGACTAAACTGACCAGCCGACCTCGAGAGAGTTTGATAAAGTTGGCGACCGTTGTGAATTCAATAGCCTGCGCGTTGTAGACTCAAAACGAGATCGGCAGGCTACACAAACACTTCTAGAAAAGCGGATGCGCCGAGCTTTTGAAGCGCGATTTTTGTGCTCACGTCGCTCCAGGCCAAATTGTGCGTGAGCGCACCGAGACTCGAGCGCAGTCCCAAGTCGGTCGTCGCCTCCGCCCAGTCGCGAAGGTACAGAATGGGTCGACCAGGAGCCGGGCCTTCGTCCAGCGCACAAAGGAAGATGACCGAGTAGTGGTTGTCGCGGGCGAGGTTGACGGCCAAGTCACTGAGCGCAATGAGCACGTGCTCGTTCTTTTCATCGACGAGGCGCGTTAGGAGCGCTGTGATGCGGTCTTTTGCCGCGTGCAGCGCTCGCGGCACGTGCGTTGCGAGGTTGCAAAATACGTTCGCGATCAGACCAACCTCGGTCGCAGGTGACGTGGCGTCCAGCAGCTGCTGCCACAAGTCGTCCAACGCAGCGTTAGTGAGATGCGGTGCTTGCCGCGCTTCCTATACGACTTACAACAGACGAGTTCGTGACGTCGCACGCACCGTGTAGCACAAATTTCGAAGTGCTTCGAGGGCCAAGAGCCGGCACGACTGCGGCAGTGCAACGAGTGATGGACGTCCGTCGTCTTGCACCACTGCAGAGACGCTGGTCTCCGTTATGCACTCGGAGGCGACGAACTCATCGTAGAGCTCTTGGGGCAAATGCAAATCGCAGAGCTCGGATGCTAAATCCGCATCCAAAGCCATGTGCGTGATCGTGAGAACTAGGCACACGTATGAGGCGGCAGGAATCAGTGCAAGGAGCGCGTACGCAAATAGCGCACGCTAGCATGAAGGCGCTTTTGACCAATGCTACGGACAGCAAGATATGGCACGCCACGTCGTGCAACGAGGTATCGTAGTATACTGGAAGCCAAACGCCTTTGAGTACGCCCATGGCGGCGTCATCGCCGCTTGCTCTGCACAAAGCTGCTGCAAGTGATTGACTAGGCACGCGGCAATCAGTCATGGACCGATGTGCGAGCGCGTACCCAGGGTTGTCAGACCATCCAGCTGACCAAACGTTCCTCGCTCGTCAGGGCGCCTACCAAACCGTATCGACTGCACGGGCACAGCATTGTCGTACACTAAAAGGACGCTCATGAGGCCAAGCGCTTCTACGAGCTGGTCTTCGGTCGCGGCTTGGCGAAGCACATAGAGTTGCTCCTGCAGCGAGTGTTTGACCATCGATCTTTAGCGGTTGCGAGGGCTCTTTTTTGGAGCACAGTTGAGTAATTTTTCTACAAAATGGAGAATGCAATAGAGTTTCCAAGATAGACGCGAATTATTTTGTCGAAACCCGACTCCACATTCGCCATTTCCGAAACACCGCGATGAACACGAGCCCAGGAGATGGCACGCTCCTCGGTCGCATCATGCGGAGCGCCAGCGCTGTGTCCTTGCCACTGCCGTCGATCAACTTCCCGACGGCCTTCTCGGCGCCGGCCCTGGCCACCATGGACGAGCATGACGAAGCGCGTCCAGCTGGAGCGAGCGGCGGCTTCCCATGCTTGAAGAAAGGCCGGCTTCTCGTCGAGGTCGATGGCATCCAGCGGCAATGGGAGCCATGTACTGTTGCACTTGTTGGTACAGACGTCTCGAACCTTGCTCTGCACTACACTGCCGACGCCACCGAAGGTAAGAGGGATCCTGGCAAGTTGCGCATGCATTCTCACCTTTACGCAGGCAAGACAGCCATCGTTCGTCTGCACAGCGCAACGATCGACCTCATGGAAGAAATTTTCAGCGTCATCACACTGGAACAGACATGGTATCTCTGCGCCGAGAGCCAGCGCGAGGCGGAGGAGTGGGCCGACACCATTTGCGGCGCGCTCGAGGCTGCGGCCGGGCGGTCGCCGTCGTCGACGCCCTTGACGAGCCGCCGACGGCGGCTGTCATCGCATGTAACGGCGTCGACTGTCAAAGAGATCCAGACCCGCGACGTGTGGACACGCGTCGATGAGTTTGTGGAGATTTACGTCCGATCCAACCACCACGACATTCATCGCCAAGCGACGCGTGGCGCGTTCTCGTGGTCGTGCTTGCGCAACCTCACATGGCGACTCTGGCTCAGCGTGCTACCGCAAGTGGCGTCGTTCGAGGCATGGGTACCGACAACGCAGGTTGCACGCGTCCGGTACGCGCAGCTCCAAGACCGCTATGCGTTTGAGCTGCCAGCTGGCGTTGACGTACGCCCACCACCTTGATCTCATGCAACGTAAGTTACCCTGCTTTTAGGACGACAGTGAAGACCCGTGCTTTTACGAGGCAGTGCCATCGCCAAAGGAGCCGACGTTGCTGCTGCACATGATACAGCGTGATGTGGTGCGCACGCGATGCGCAATGCCATACTTTCGCGAGCCCGATACACAAGCCATGCTCATTCGGATTCTCTTCATTTATGCCCAGGAGCACTCGGACATGGGCTACCACCAAGTACGATCGCAATGGGTCTTCTGTCTTATGCTCATGCTTTCGATGTCTCTAGGGCATGGGCGAACTCCTTGCCGTCATGGTGTATCTCTTGTACATTGAGCAGTTTCCGCTTGCAGTCGCACCCAGCAGTATACCGGACGGTCGATGGTCCTTTGAGAACATCTCGGTCATTCACGGCGCGCCCGTCGACGAAAATGGCGCGTGGGACGACAACTCTTATGTGCACGTTGACGTCGTCGACGTCACCCGCGCACCGTCGATCCTTGAGAAGGGCCAGTTTCTCGACAGACGTCCGTTCTCATCCGACGAAAGCAAGCCCACGACGTGCGTCTTTGACACGCGAATGTTTGCACTCATGCTGCGATTGTAGTGCGTGCAAGGAGGCGATTGTCGAGCTTCTCCAAGCAGTCACGTGTGGCGACTGCATCGAGCACGACGCATATGCTATCTTCGAAGCGCTCATGGATCGCATGACGGGCGTGTTTTGTCCCACCGAGAGCCACGGCTGCTCCAGCTTACACATGCAGTTGGAGCGAATCCAATACGACCTGCTCACGCGCTTGGACCCCGCGCTGTCGCTCCACTTGCGTGAGCTGCAGGTGCTACCTGAAGTCTTTCTCCTCAAATGGGTCCGTCTGCTCTTTGCGCGCGAGTTCCAAATGTATCAGGTGTGGGCTTTATGGGACGCGATCCTCAGCGTCTCGTCCGACGACCTCAGTTTTGTACATTACCTCTGCGTCGCCATGCTCCACGAGGCGCGCGATGAGATCTTGGCGCAAGATGATGTCGCTGGTGTTCTTCAGTGCTTAAAAGAGACGTCCGTATCGTATGGCAAGGTTGTCGACACTGCACGCGAAATGCATGATCGCCTCTTGTGTGAGGATGCGATTGCCGTCGCCACACGCAGCGATTAGCCTGGCGACTTTAGGGATAAAAATTCAACTCGAATACCTATTTTGCAGTAGTGCAATTGTATCGACCAAGACTTGTAGCGACCAAGCGCATTGACAAGCTCGGCAGCCCCCGTGCACGAGACGTACCGCCACTTCCTCGTAGACTGCGACTTCATCAAGGACGTGTGGAGCACCCTCCACGCGGTCACGGCCCCCTTGGGTGTAGTCTTGCCGACAACACTCTTGGGCTACCTCTCCTCGACGCCGAAGACGGCCTCCAACATGCACCGAGCCGCGTTCCGCTACCTCTGGCCAGTGCTCTGCGCCTGCGTCTGGTTGAACGTCTAGCGCGTCCGAAACGATCGCGTCTTATCGCCGACCTCCCACTGCCAAGTCCATGGACGATTGCCGCCAAGGCGGCGCGTGTCGCTCAAATGCACTTGCACCACAGCCTCGTTCAAAATCCCGGGCAGATGGCTCTACGTCGCCTTCTCCGGCTCCTCGCTCAACACGAGTGGCCGCGCCAGCACCTTGTCCCGCGGATCGCGCTCCTGCCTCCGCCGGCCTAGATCAAGATCAACACCAGCGCCTGCACAACGAAGAAGGTTCGATAATTTTATTCAGACTTAGTGTTGATTTATGTATCTATTTTAACAGAAGACCCACTTCAACAGCAACAACAAGCTCGGCAGCGGAGGTAGCGCGAGGTCGACCAGAATTTGGTGCGACGGGCAGCATCCATGGCAAACGACTAGTACTAGTCGTCTGACGTCGTTGCACCAAGACGCTGGGTATCGTCTCCAGCACGTCATGACGGGTACTGTGCACGGTATGCGGCAAGTGCTTGCGACGAGGTCGGCAGTACAGTATGCAGGGTCCCACTTGCCATGGCACCTTGAAGCAACTGCATCACTTAACTACCAAGCAGCTCTCCCAAGCGGTGTCAGTCAATCATCCGAGCACCGCCATCGCGTCGGATAACACGTCTTCGGATCAGAGGTCCTCGCATGTGCGCGATCCGTCAACGTTGGGCGTTTCATCGGACAGCAACATGTCGCAAAAATTATATTCTGGCGCTAAAAAAAGCACCCAAGCATACAAATGTGCAGTACAAACGCGAACTCGCCCGATTCTATTTTCGAGCCGCTTCGCTCCAACGCCACGGCATACAAAAAACAAGATCGATCAGAATCCGGGCTCTTATTGGGCGAATTTCTGGAAAAAGGCCAGTTGGCATCCCACTCGGCGAGACGAACGAGCAAGACGACGATGGACATGGTAGACGCGACTATGGAGCGCCTCCACGCGCTCAAGCTCACAAGCGACATGGCACTCTCGAGGAAGGGCCAGGAGCTGCATGACCAAGCCGCTGCGCTGCACGTGCGCGAGCAGTACGAGAACATGGTCGTCGAGCAAACGAAGCGGTCGCAGTTAGCGCTACAGGAGAACGCACAGCTTCGCTCGATGCTTGCAACGATGGAGCAGCAAAACCAAGCACTTCGACAAACTGTACATGCGCTCGAGGAGTACCGCGAGAAGCACGACGGGCAGGTCGTGCAAATTCAGCAGCTCCAAGACGAGGTCAAGCGAATTCAGCAAGCCAACTTTTCGCTGAAGTTTTATCTTCAGCAATCAGACCATACAATACACGGTGCCTTCCCGCCACAACCACCTGATGTATATTAGCTAGCCTGTAATCTTTTAATCGTCTTGCATGAACTTCATTCTCATTATCTGACGGTTTTGCGCTACCCCGATAGAGCACAGCTCGTCGGGTCACAGATCTCGCTCGTTACAGGCACGGATTGAGTGAACGAAGTGAGCGCAGAACACAGCATCGCACACCGACACGTACCGAAGCATCGACAAGTTGCATTTCGAAACGCGTCGTCACAGGCAAGGCAGCGTACTAAGCT